CAGCCCCGTTTCTTAATCCTCCATCAGCCCTGCGCTTCTGCGCGGGCAAGCAGAGATCAGCAGGTGATAGGAAGGGACAAGGGAGAGCCCAGGACGACCCTTGTCCCATCTTGGGAGTATCAATCCCCCCAACCCCAGCCCCTTGCCACCGATACGCGAAAAGCGAACCTGACTTTCTTCAAAGGTGGGTGAGTTACTCACAGTTCTTTGTAATTGGCATCGTACAGAGTTGCCCACTTGTTCTGTTGATGTGGCTGCCCCTTTATAGACTGGTAGTTGGGATCCAAGTAGGAGCCATTCAAGCTGTCGTTATCTTGAATCAGGCCTGTGGCGAGGGGAAAATACCTATTTCAGTTGCTCCGACAGAGCATCCAGAGGGGAAAGAGCACAAGGAAGCGACTGGCGTTGCCTGTGCTGCCAGCACGAAGCCTCCTGACTGCCAGGGTGCAAGATTTGGGCCAGGACGAACTCACCACCCTGCTCTCCTCCTGGGCACCCAGCTGGCACCCTGCGGTGCCCACATACTGTCCTCCCTGGCACCCTGGCCCAGCGGGGTGCCCGGCTGGCAGCAGGGGTCTGCAGGCTGGGGGGGGGATTAAGGGGAGGGGAAGAAGGGGGGATAAAACCCACATACCTGGTGAGAGGGGTCCTGGCTGGTGCCAGGGAGGGGTTTGGACTCTGTCAGGGTTGAGCGGCACGGACCCCATGCCTGGCTCCTGCTTTATCAGCCCGTTGAGCATCTGTGCATTGAGGGTGTTGGGGGGCGACTCGGAGTGTTTCCGCTTTTTGGCAGGGTGCACCGGGAGGCTGCAGAGACCCGCGGGAAAGCAAAGGCTGAGTGGGAAAGCAAGAGGTGACAGGAGAGGTGACAGCCCCACAGCCCCATGATCAGGAAAAAGCTGGGATCTCACATAAAAGCCAAGCCCTTCGTGCAGGGAGCCACCGGCTCCGTCAGCACTGTCACCACCTTCTCCCGCAAGGCTCTGCCCGTGCCGCCTGTGATGGCCACGCTCTGTGCCAGGCGCGCACTGAGCCACAGCTTTGCTTTCCTCTTGTCTGTCCCCACCACCCAACCCTGAGCCACACGCTGTAAACCCCTACCCCACGCTTTGGGTCATCTCCACCGAGGTGGTCATCTCCACCTCGATGCCTTCCCCAGCTCGCTCCCGCAGAACCAGGGCACGCTCCTTAACTTGCCGTTAAACCCAGTAATTTTGCTCGTGCATTCTGCAAACCTCCAGCTCCCGTTCCCTCACACCCTCCCTTCCCCAAATCACACAAATAACGCCAAAAAGCTCCAACGCCCCCAGGCCTTACTCTGCTCCGTGTTGCTGGAGTAGCTGGTGCAGCATTTGCGACTGCTGGGCATGGTGGAGGTCGGCCGGTGCCATGCCCTGCCCGATGCCGTACGGTGGCATCAGGGGCTCGGCCTTCATGTACATGTCCCGCTGCAGGCCGGGGTAGTGAGGGGTGTGCTGCTGCTGGTGCGGGTGAGGCGGCGGGGGACCCTGAAGGTGGGGCGGTGGAGGTGGAGGCGGCGGAGGAGGGTGCTCCAAGCGAGAAGGGGGAGTCATGTGGCACATGTTTTCGGGGGTCATGGTCCGGAGGAGGTGAGGATCTTGAAAAAGAGAAAGAGTAATAGCTGTTAGACCAAGCGTTGTGTGTCCTAAAGCCCAGGTCCAGCACAGACAGAGCACTCCCCTCTCCCTGAACCATCTAGTCCTGGTTACCTTCACACACCCGTACCTCCCCGCCTCTTCTGCGTAGCCTTAGTGCAGCCGTGTCCGCTCAGCTGCCCCGTCTGCCTTGCGATGGCCACCTTGCCCTGCACTGACTTCTCCTCCCAGGTTCCTTCATGGCCCCAGCACCCCACAGCCACCCCCAGGGTTCCCCAGCAGGAGAACCAGAGCGGTGCTTCCTTTCAACGTCAGCAGCCTCGGCCATCAACTTCAGACACAGTCTGTCCAAGTGGTATCTTGGGACAGCGAGGTCCTCGGCTGGGCAGCTCATAAAGGGACACGCAACGCTACGAAACCAAGTGCCTTGTACCGTACATCTTCCGAGAAGAGGTGAGACTGGAAGGGGTAAGCACGAGGGAAGCAGGCAAGGCCCAGCATCTGGAAGCTCAAAGAACCAAAACTCAAAAGACAACCAGGTCCTCAGGCTGAGGGACAACAGGGAAGATTCCCACAAACATTCCTG